CTTTTTGTAATTTTAACTCTCTACAAATATTTTTAGCTTTACTTCTATAAGGTTTTGGAATACCATTGCTAGCTACTATCATATTTGACAAAATAGAATTTGGTATTGATGTATGCAATTTTTGATTTGAAGATTCTGTAACAGTATTAGATACAGATGTATTAAAAAATGCTGATGCAATAGATGTAACTGAAAATCTTCTTGATAACTATAATATTTATGGTTAGTTTTCATTTTAGGCAAAATTTTTTAAAATTATATTGAAATTACATACATTTTGATTAGATTCTTCTAATGAAATATTTTGACTTTGCTTAAGTTATTTAAGTAAATTTTTATTTTATTTATTTAAAACTTTTAATTGGCGTTATAAATATTACACTATTGATTATTATTAATATAAAGAAAATAATTAATAATTAAAAATCAATTATATAGTAAAAGAAATAATATAAAGTATTTATAAAATGATTATACTTTGATTAAAATTATCAACAGAATTAGTTTGACCAAATTTTTTTTATTTATTACTTTGATATAAAATAAAACTTTTAAAGTGAGAAATAACGCGTGTTAAAATAAAATTAATATCTAATAAAGATGCATATGATATATCTGTATATTTATCTCATACTTTTTTATGTATGTATATAGTAGTGTTCTTCAAAATCAGATCAGATCAGATTTGGATAAAATCTGATCTAATCTAATTTTCATTTTTCAGGATCTGAATCTGAGCTGAATCTGACAGATTGAATCTCAAATTCAGATCTGATAGATCAGTTTAAATCAAAATCCAATCTGATCTGAATCTAAAATTTTTATTGAAAAATGATTTTTTGTTTTTAAAAGAGTTCTGAAAAGTCATTCCTTTACAATGAAAGGAACCTTTTCAAATTTTGAAAAGTTGTTCCTTTACAATAAAAGGAACTTTTTCAGCTCTAAAAGAGTTTCAAAAAGTCATTCTTTTACAATAAAAGGAACCTTTTCAGCTCTAAAAGAGTTCTGAAAAGTCATTTCTTTATAATAAAAGGAATCTTTTCAGCTCTAAAACGAGTTCTAAAAAGTTGTTTCTTTACAATAAAAGGAACCTTTTTAGCTCTAAAAGAGTTCTGAAAAGTCATTCCTTTATAATAAAAGGAACCTTTTCAGCTCTAAAAGAGTTCTAAAAAGTCATTTCTTTATAATGAAAGGAACCTTTTCAGCTCTAAAGAGTTTTAAAAAGTCATTCCTTTATAATGAAAGGAAACGAATTTTCAGTTTTAAGAAATCTGAAAATTTTTTCTTTCAATAAAAGGAACTTTTTCAGCTCTAAAAGAGTTCTAAAAAGTTATTCTTTTACAATGAAAAGAACCTTTTCAACTTTAAAAAGATCTAAAAAGTCATTTTTTTTTAATAAAAGGAAACAAATTTTCAGTCCTAAGTGATCTGAAAATGTTTTTTTTCAATGAAAGAAACCTTTTCAGCTCTAAAAAAATTCTGAATTCTTATTTTTCAGTTCTAAGAAGGTTTAATCTAATTTAATAAAATTTATGCAATATACAATAATTAAATTTTATTATTATAAATATAAAAATAAATAAATAAATACATAAATAAAATAAAATATATATAAAAAATATAAAAATAAAAATAAAATTTTTTTTTAAAAAAACTTTTAATTGCTACTTAATTATTTAATTCATTTAAAGAATCAGTCCATTATGATTTTAAACACATACAATATCTTACTGTTTTTCCTAATAAATGATTTCTTTTATCTATAATTAAATTTTTACATATTGAAAAACTTTGTTTAGATGGAATATTAGTAACAGATATTGATAAATAATCTCTTGCCATTTTGAATAAATTTGGATATTAACTTTTATTAATTTTCCACCATTCAAGTGGATCTGTTTTTTCATCATATGTAAGTGAAGCAAGATATGTTTGAGC